GTCCATGCATAACTGAGATCCGGGTCCGGAATGGTGAAAATGTGCGATTTCAATGCATTTTCGGCCTTAAAGCGGCTGCCATTTGGCTATCGTTAATGAGATCATGAAACAAATGCACATACATATTTGTGACATGATGTATCTTGTGTGTGTGAAGTTTGAACTCGATCAATCCAAGCATGTCTCAGATACGGATCCAGAACTGAATTCTTTAAAACAAAATGGCCGCCAGTCGGCCATTTCGAACCCGATCCAAAAAAAAAAATGACGTGCATCAAGGTCCTATTATGTTTAAGGTATGTACCAAATTTGAACAAAATCCGTCCATGCATAACTGAGATCCGGGTCCGGAATGGTGAAAATGTGCGATTTTGATGCATTTTCGGCCTTAAAATGGCCGCTATTCGGCTATCGTTAATCGGATCATGAAAAAAATGCATGTGCATATGTCCCATATAATGTGTGATGTATGAGTGAAGTTTGAACTTAATCGGTCCATGCATGTTCGAGATACAGGTGATCACGGACGCACGGACGCACGGACGCACACAGGGCAAAACATAAGTCCCCGTTTTCGGACTGCGTCCGAACGGGGACTAATAAAGTCTAGATCTTATCCTGCTTTGGCTCCAAGCCCCTTCCACTGAATACTTACCAGCACATGCACTTAATATGTAAATTACATTTATTTTAGGTGTATTTATGGTCAAAATAAGTAATATTTTTAATGATTCATTATACAACAAATCTAAATATATATGCACTTCTAATAAGGCAAATAGAGTATTTTAAAGGTAGTGATGCCCCTTCTGACATGATACTTAAAATAATGATGTTCCAGACATCTTTTTTCTTTTTTTTGTCTTAATTGCAAGTGCATATGTGGAAACCAGTCTCCCAAACTTAATACCGCCTGTTTAGAGGGCAGGGAAGTTTTATACTAACAGGAATCAAACCCAGAACGTTCCTAATGTGAGGCAATACACTATGCTAACCCCTGTTAACCATTTCCCAGGGACCTAAGTACTTACTTTAACAGTAACTGACATGCAGTCACTTGTACATCTTTTCTTTTCAGTATCATCAAAGGACATAAATGATTGAGCAATGATTGAATTTCATCAGGTAAATGGTGTGAAATATCAACACGTAATTTCATTGTTATTTTAGATTCCTTCATCTGTTGAGATGTAATACCAGTCATAGCAACACATAGCGACTGAATAACTTCATCATCGAGTTCACATTCATCCTTTGACGATAGACAATCTGTTAAAACAAAACAAGATATACATGTAAAATACCTGAAAATAAAATACTTTGGGATACAGGGAATAACATCAAGGAGTTAAATAACTTAATACGACATGAAACATTTAATAAAGATTTCTCAACTAAGATAAGATTATAATAATATTAATACATAAATACTGTAAAACATCTCTTTTTAGGTAGAATGTTATTTTAGCTAATCCACAATATCGCTAATTCAAGATGTCGCTAATTAGAATAGAGTATATTCTCACAATGAGATTGTTGGGACTTTAGCTAAATTAAGATTCAGTAAATTCATGCATGGAGTCAAATTTGCTAAAATGTATATAGCTATTTCAATGTGTTTTACAGTATATTATTATTTATGACATTTTTAATATATGTATTCAAATTCATAACTCACCAATAATATGGATAAAGAGTGGAAATAGTGTAGTATAGGCGTTGTCACTAAAGAATTCATGCCATTCGCTGATTTGACTGGTGTTCAGGGTATGTGTACCACTTTGTATATAGTCACTAACTGCAGATAATAAATCAAGTACAGAGCAGCTGAACACTTGACACAAGATTGTTGGTTCATTCCTAAGACTTTCTGCACAGCTCTATGAAACAAACATAGAAAGATTTGTTATAACTTACAAAAATATTGCCATAGAAAGCATGATCTGACCATAGATCAGATTTAATTCTTATATCGTAATCTTGTAAAGATCAGACAATTAAATGTAAATATACAATTGTAGCTTTTACCACATCAAAGCTATTACCCAGCTCTACAAATAAAAACAATTTGTTGAGAAGAACAGTAATCTTATTCTTCCTATTGTCTAGGTTACCATGGCAACAAATCCTGCTGACGTACCTGTATCCACGAGACAAGACTACACATGAAAAAATCCCAATGTTTTGTAACAAAGACGTCCGGTTTACGTTTGACAACACTTATCATCAGCTCAGCGGCTTCTATATTGAAATTCATTTTACTTGATGTAATCTCATTCATATTACTGATGGGAGAAAGACAAGAGATACTTTTATTCAAATTGCAGGAAACTATACAGAATTTTCTATAACTTATTTTATGATGTCTGTAATAATTCTTTTTGAATATATTGATAAATAATCTAACAATTAACACAATCTATATCCTGATATTCTGACACAGACATACAGACATAACTTACCAACTGAATAAGAAAAGTTCATCAATCTCATCCTTTAATGATGCAAGCTGATCCAGTGCACTGATCAATAAATCAGACGTGATTGTTGTACTGTGATGAAGACATTTATTAATGATAGACAGTGCACCAGTGCCACCTAAACAAATGATTACAAATAATAAGTCATAACGGACATGTATTATTATTATTATTATTATTAAAATGTGAAAAATGAATTATTTATTTATTCATTCCAGCCAGAAGTTTATTTGGTGCCAAAACAAGCTTCTAACAAAATTTGGAATGTTGTCTACAATCCAAGTTTATAAAGCCTTAACTTTCTCACAACCAGATTTTTTTGTGCAAATTTTTCTGTCTTTTTTTCTATATTCTTCAATATTTCTGGAAATAAACCTCAGCTTTGGAGCCTACAGACAAAATTTGAGCAAATTTTCAGTTTTTACTCAAAAAATTTGGCTATTTTTGTCCCAATCTTCTGAAAGAAAGAGCAGACTATAAACGGGTCTATTTTATGAATTTGTGATGAAAACAGGAAACTGGTGGTGAAAAGGTTAAAGCTCCTGTGTTTTGATTAAAGCTCAGTACAAGGGTATGATGATTTACATGAATCTTAAATGTTTTCTCAGCTTCTCTCCTTTTGAACTACCCACAGTGCAATTCGAATCAGAAGAGGTAGAATCATAGTTGAAGTGTCACTGATCTATGAGATGTTAAATCTATCAGTAACTTACTTGATAATACAGTATTTTCTGATTCAGTACAGGTAAGTAGTTTTGCAACATTTATTTCAATTAGTTGTAAAACCTCTTCAGACGTAATGTACGGTATTACTGACTGTAAAGTGTGAAGACTGCCATCATCTAATATTGCAAACCTAAGTGAATAAAAAGTCTTTGAATATAATTTTCTTTGAATAAATAAGTCCCTGCATTCATTGAAATTTACAGGTAATTCAAACTACACATTTCACGATATGACTCAGTCCCCATACTTCTCATTGTAGGATTATATGTGCACATGTCAATACAACTTGCATGCAATCATTCATAACATGGAAGATTAAAGGCTCCGGCAATTCTAATGTGCATTAAGGTCCCATGATGTTCGATGTATGTTCCTAGTTTAAACAAAATCTGTTCATCCATGATTGAGATCAGTTTCAAGAATGGTAAAAATGCTTGATTTTGATACATTTTTGGCCTTTGAATGGCTGTCATTCAGTCATCTTGAGTAGGATCATAAAATATGTATGTGTACATGTGAGATATGATGGATGGTTGAATGTGATTGGTCTAGAAACATAAGAGACTGAGAGGCAGATGACTGAACATACAGATGAGGAAACACAAATGAACAGGGACTAATAAAAGCAACGACAACTTGCAAGGTATTTTTGTCCAAGTACGTCACACAATCTGCAGTCTTGTTCATAGTCAGCTGCATAATAATCACTAAAATCAACCTCTAAATATCTATCTATTTCACCACTGCATGGCAGGTAAATGTTTGATTTTAGTAATCATGAAATGCTGAAAATATTTCACTGGTTTGGTACATTTGTTTGCATGCATGAGACGGTGATCGTGCACGTCATAAAACAACTTTGAGCAAGCCTTCAAGTTGATGATGTAATTGAAAAGAACCCCACTAATGGTCTGGTGTACTGTTATCTAACTCCTGCATGTTTGAAAGAAATAATAGCCATCAGATTTGTTTCAAACCTTGTGAAAACTTGGCTGTTCCAGTGAAAACCATGTAAACCAAAAAAATTTTCATCCTGTTCATTCATTCAATCAATCAATCAATCAATCAATCAATCAATCAATCAATCAATCAATCAATCAATCAATCAATCAATCAATCAATCAATCAATCAATCAATCAAAAACATAAGATTCAGCCATGTTTGTTCATAGTGACACTTACCTGTCTAAAGTTCCAGCACACTGGATGACATCAAACTGGAATATATTATTTTGAATACAGCTTGATATAATATAACTTGTACACTGTGACCACAAGTAACCATTTTGTAATGATCTGAGAAGACAAGATAATTTAAGATGATCAGTTCACCCTTGTTTTCATGTTAACATTATAGTAAAACACCATGTCCTAAGATAAACCACTAGAACGATTGACATGTGAAGGTCTCAATTAACACAATGAGGTCCATAGTAGCTGATATTTGATGGAGCCATTTTATTTATAATATCCAACCCTGGCAAACCACAATGTTTTCCACCAATGAACATTTTTTTAATCAATTTTCACCCACATCTTACATACATAAAACTTTTTATGTACATACTATGAAAAAAATGCTTGGTCAACAATTCAATAAGAAAATTATATTAATGATAATGATGAAAACAGAACTTTTTTTTTTATATTTTTCCTTTTATGCAAATTATGGGCAAGGTAAAAATGATACCATATAGAGGAAAAAAAAGAGTCATTAGTAGTGATTTGAAATGTTACAATCACCATTAAGATTAACCAATCAAGTCAAAGTAATTCATTTTCAGTTTTGCAATAATAAATAGTAATTTTTCCACAACAACAAACAAATTACCACCAATCATCTTATTGCTCTTTTTGCCCGAGAATGCCAACTAGACTTACATCTAATAATTAGACTCACTAAATCTCAATTTTTCCCTATGTCTCATTATTCTGAGCATTTACAAAATAGCAGACTATTTACCTTTCAAAAGTTAATGCCAGCAGAAGTTCCCAATGGCCAGCTTGATAATTATGAAAGATTTCTTCAAGATTAGAACTCAATATTTCCCATGATACTTCTACATCACTAAGATATCCAGTCACAACTTGCGGATACTGTAATGAATCCATAGAATTATACTGTCATTATTGAATGGATGTGTGTAGCACAAAATAAGACCCTATAGATTCAAGAATGTCTGTATGTAGCTATCTAATTGTACATTGATTTTTCACATCCCAGACATGTGACCTCATTAATATGCATAAACATAATTCTAAGGAAAGTATTCCAAATATCTGTAGTTATTGGACAAGTACTTCTTAATTTTTAACTGGTCAGAAATTTAAAATGACTATACAGAAGAGTAGTGTAATACAATTTTAAGTTAGTAAAGTAGCGTTAAGTCACTATTATCAAATGTCGTCAACAGATTTTCATTTTTTATTACCAAAAACTCATCTTTTATTAAAATATGATTTAGGGAGAGGTTGTAATATTTGTTACTTTCCATTTTAACTACATGTTGTATTGCTATTTTTTTCAACATCTATTTCAGTTTAACCACCAGACTATTATTCTGCACTTTTTTCTTATATTCTTTAATATTTCTGGAAATGAACACATTAATTTTGGTGCCAACAGACAAAATTTGAATAAATTTTCAGTTTATACTCAAAAAATTTGGCGATTTTTGTCCTAATCTTCTGAAGGAAAGTGCGGACTATAAACGGAACTATTTTGTGAATTTGTAATAAAAAAGGGAACTGGTGGTAAAAAGGTCAATGAATGATGTAATACTCACAGGTGACTTAAATGCAGGTAAACCAAGCACAGAATGACACCATTTTAAACCATAAACACACTCCAACACTGAGGGCAGGAAATCTCCAATGTCTAATACATTACTGATGGATTCAGAATCCAGGTCCATCATCATTCTGTTGCTATGACAACACTTCTTAAACATGACAGATGAGAAAATGCTGAGCAGGATATATTTTGGTGTGGAAGAACAGGATGAAGTGAAGGATTCTGGGATATCAGCTACTGTAATAATACGTTTCATTGCAAGTGTTGCTTTCCACTAAAAACAGAAAAAGAAAAGTAAAAATAGTAACAAATAGTTTATCGTGAAGTTATTGAGTATAATAATAATATAACTACATTAAATTATTACAAGATGGCTATGACAGTTTATCAGTATTTGACCTACATTGTTAGGTAGGTGCGTTCTGTGTTCATTCCATTCATCACTGGACGGAAGTAGGATATCCCATAGAGTAAGTATAATATGATTGTTGCTACTATCTTTGCTGTCATCGACGTCCACTTCAGATGGAAGACTAGATATCACTATATGACATAATTGAACAGCAGACTCCGCTAAGTGATTTGCACTGCAATGAGAAACATAAATACGAGCTATTGTTACATACTTTCCAAGTGTGTTCAAATAGGCCAACATACATGTACAAAGACACTATGAATTAAAAAAAATCAAAATTAGTCACCAATCGGTCAAATTATATCTATTATATGCCTCAGTATTCCATTTCAAAAAAATCAGCTCGCCATGTCCGAGAAATGTGGACACCAAGTATCAATAAAGAAGTAAATCTAACATGTGGCACAGGAGATCACCTAAGAACTAATATGACATATGGGACTGAGCACCACCAATAGAACATGAAAAATATCATATTCATGTATTGTAATCAAAGTGGATTATTTGAAAAAAATGCACTTTACCCTTGTCTAGTATAAAAATGGAATTAACTGAATTATCAATGGAATGGCATCATCAAGATTAGACAAAAAACAAAGTTTTACAAAGTTGCAAGCCATCTTAATAACTGACTGTCTGAATTATGCTTGGAACAGCCGTATTGGAGTCTAAGAGTGAGTATAAATAAAAATATCAATGTAGAAGAGAAACACCGAGTATGCTTACTCAATACCCTTGCCACCTGCCACCTTATCTCCTATTTGTCATTGCCCTCCATGTTTATATTATATTATCTCACCTTTTGCAAGTTGTACAAGTCATTAATGTTTGTTTGATCCAGGAAACGGCTCTACATAGAAATCCATCATCCTTTAATAAAGCTCCAAATTGACAAATCAAAGACTTTGTTCCTGCTTTCCATGTCTGTTTCAGCTTGTCACTAACAATATCTATTTCATACAGATACAAGAGTAAACAAATATACAGTCACAGTACATTGCAAAATCCCTAAACATTATTGTTCTTTACATGACCCAACTAACTATGTTCACACACAAAACATTATGTTTCACATATTACTTCATCATTGTTTAAACTTAACCTTATTGTTGTTCACAACCAGACCTTTTTTGTAAAAAGTTGTTCGCACTTCCCAACTCATTGTTCATACCGGTACTTCCCAACTCATTGTTCATACCGGTACTTCCCAACTCATTGTTCATACTGGTACTTCCCAACTCATTGTTCATACCGGTACTTCCCAACTCATTGTTCATACCGGTACTTCCCAACTCATTGTTCCTACCGGTACTTCCCAACTCATTGTTCATACCGGTACTTCCCAACTCATTGTACCATACCAGGTACTTCCCAACTCATTGTTCATACCGGTACTTCCCAACTCATTGTTCATACCGGCACTTCCCAACTCATTGTTCATACCGGTACTTCCCAACTCATTGTTCATACCGGT